TTTTTATTTTTATTAACTTTTAAAATTTTTAAACTTTAAAAATTAAATTATCATCTTTTTAATTTTTGAGAATTAATTTTGTAAATTTTTCATTCCCTCTTCAATAGAGGGTTAACGGATTTCATTGGTTTTAAACCAACTGAAATCTTCAAACTTTGAAATTTAAATAGTTTAAATTCTATAACATAGAGTGAGGGATTAAAAACTTAGATGGCTAAATGCATGCTTTAGCCAACCGTTTTTAAGTATCAAAGGACCCTTCCCTTGCCTTTGCCTTTGGGCGGTGTGAAATGTGCCTCGCCTCGCCGGGAAAAATAAAAAAAATAAAAAAATAACGAAAATTGCCAGCATTTAAACTCCCGCTTATTAAATAATTTCCTTCTCCCGATCAACCTTCCCTTAATTAATCTCCGTCCACCGACGCCGATCAACCCTCTCAAACCACGCCTCATATCGCCCTCATTTCGCTGGAAATCGTAAGTCCCAGGCTGAATTCAGATTCTTTTACTCCTTTTCTGACCTTTTGTTTATGAAGCTTGTTTCCGATCTGAAAATGGTTAATCATTGGGATGATCCTCGAAGCTGGCTGCTAATTTTGTGTAATGGGGAAGAATTTGGGACTACATTCATGGGTTTGATCTGTTTCTTTTTGGGTTTCTAATTTTTTATGTTGATTGTGTAGATAGCAATCGTTTCCTTCAAGAATCGAGCTCAGAGATGAAGTTATGGAGACAATTTGAAGATAGCCTATTGCTTCTAATCCATGTTTTCAGCAAATAACCTGTTGTTTGCCTGAATTTTGATTTTCTCTCTTGGAAATATTTGATAATTGTTGGTGGGTCATTTTCAAGGCAAGTTCTTTTCGAATTAGTTTAGTTCGGGGGATTCTATGTCAGAGGCTTTTGTTAGGAAGTAATTGGATTTAAGGAACCAATGACTTCGGATTCGCCTAGAGGATCGCCTAAAATGGCTACATTACCGCGGAGCCTTTCATCCATTGTAGTTTCAGTGGTAGGACTGGCGATGTTCTTGATTTTTGCTTCATTGCTTCTGGTCTCATACCCAATAAGTTCCACTGTTCGTGGGTATTTTTATAGTCTTGATAGAAAAGTAGTAGTGACCATTTCTCCAGTTAACCAAAGCACTGTTGAAAATCTGTTTTCTAAAAATGTAGATGGCATACATAAGAGTCCATCATCTGGGTCAGATCTAGAAGTTCCCATGAGCTCAAATAATGACAAGAATGCAATTCTAACTGATAACAGTCCCTCAGATGGCATACAAGTGTCCATTAGTTCCAGTGGTTCAGAATCCAGCTTGAAAGGAAAATCAACAAGATCAAAAGGGGAGGAGGAGACTAGTGCTAATTCTGCATCAATCAGTGCAACCAGTAGCGTTTCAGTTCAATCACGTAACATTCAGTTGGTAACTTTTGTTTAGATTAGTAGATATGATCAGCTGATAAGAGAACTTATTTGATAGTAAATGATAAAAATTGTGAAAAATGACAAATACCCATATGTTGATACATTTCATATGGCAAAATAGATCAATCCTTAATCTCCATTAACAGGTCTCCATTTTCTCCCTATACACTGATTGATATAAGTTAAATTTGCTCCCATATATGTAGTTTGAAGTGTTTCACAAACATTCTGCATGTTTACCTCTTATTCTTTATCCAGCATTTGGATTCTGTTTCATATCTTGGTCGTTATACTTTTTTCTTAGGCTGTGACCTGTACCATGGAAATTGGTTCTATGATCCGTTGGGCCCATTGTACACAAACAACAGCTGTCCTATCGTGACACAGATGCAGAACTGCCAGGGAAATGGGAGGCCTGACAAGGAATATGAGAACTGGCGCTGGAAACCCTCTCAATGTGATCTCCCACGATTTGATGCCAATAAATTTTTAGAGTTGATGAGAGGGAAGACACTTGCGTTTGTTGGTGATTCAGTTGCTCGAAATCAGATGGAGTCGCTAATGTGTCTTCTCTGGCAGGCAAGTATCTTTATTTCTTTGAATGTTAGACGTATCCCTTAGGATTCAGGCCAATCTTAGATTTGCGCTTAATTTGTAGCTGTTATAACTGTTTATTTGGCCTAATCTTACACATGTATTTCATGTCTTAAGATGGAAGCTTGCTCGCAGATTTAGTCTCTTTAGCTCAGCTTGATTGGCATATATTATATCTGGGCATGTTAATCTATCCTTTATGTCAATGAGTATCTGTGTTTGTTTAAGATGCTATCTGAAATATTTTCTGTGATCAAGAGTGTCCTTTCATGTTTCTCTGTTCCTTTTTCTTTCCCAGCCCTGGGTGGAATATGAATCAAAGGTAAGTTCAGAATGGATCAGTTGTTAGTATGTAGTGTGCTGTTGCAGAATTATTGTACCAATTGCCATTCAACTTTCTTTATATCTGCAATTGGAATTAGTTAATTTACCATATTTTGCATCCTGTAGAGCATGATTGTGTTTGTATTGCATACATTCACTGATTGAAGGTAGATTGATTTTCCAATTTTTTTTCTATTCCTTTTTCTTAAAAAAAAAAAAAAAAAAAAAAAAAAAGGGACTCTCTGCCCTCTGCAAGCTTTGATTAATCTTGTAAAGTGTCAGCTTTACTTTGATGAAGTATCTTTAACTCAACAGAATGCTTCTTTCCCATGCTATGAGCTGATCTTCATGTTCATTTGATGCAACAAGTTTCTTATAAAAAAAACTTATGGGACAATGTCAGGTAGAAGTTCCTGTGAACCGTGGAAACAAACAAATGCAAAGGTGGTACTTCAAGTCAACATCTGTGATGATTGTTCGGATATGGTCATCTTGGCTTGTCCATCAGACTTCTGAAAAACTTGACTTTGCTCAAGAGGGTATTGCCAAGCTGCACCTTGATGTCCCTCATGAGAAGTTCATGGAATTCACCCCAGGCTTTGATGTGATTGTTATTTCTTCTGGCCACTGGTTCGCCAAACAGTCTGTCTATGTGTTGAACAATGAGATTGTTGGAGGACAATTATGGTGGCCAGACAGTTCTCGGCCTATGAAGGTTAACAATATTGAAGCATTTGGGATATCTGTTGAGACAAGTCTGACCGCGCTTGCTACGCATCCAAATTTTACAGGACTGACCATTGTACGTTCCTTTTCACCTGATCACTATGAGGGTGGGGTGTGGAATACAGGTGGATCTTGCACTGGTAAAGTAAAGCCTCTTGCGGCAGGTGAACTGGTGGAGAATGGCTTCACAGATATAATGCACAAGAAACAGGTGATAGGATTCGAGCGTGCCAGCAAGAAAATAACAAATAAATCAAAGTTGAGGTTGATGGATATAACAGAAATCTTCAGTTACCGCCACGATGGGCATCCAGGTCCATATCGGAGCCCTGATCCTAATAAGATCACGCAACGTGGTCCAGATGGAAGACCTCCACCTCAGGACTGCTTGCACTGGTGCATGCCTGGTCCTGTTGACACCTGGAATGAACTGGTGCTTGAAATCATAAGAAGAGAGTTTGAGGGCAAGCAAAGCGCTTCCTCATGAAGATTCATATGCTTTGGTCAGAAATGCCTGAACCTTTGTACCCCTGTCGTTGCAACAGTAACTTGTTTAGGCAGATTCCACTTTATAATTTGAGGTGAGGATTAGTTTAGTCCATCCATTTCTCCAGCAAATTTTCTAAAGAAATAGATGATTGTAGAGATGTAATAGAGTGGAAGATAGACGACAATTTGCCCCTTTTTTTTATGCCTTTTTTTTTCATCAATAATGATATAAAATACATGGTTCTAGGAAGAAAGATAAACCTTTTTTTTTTTTTTAATAACTCCTGTTTCATAATTGAAAATGAGTTAGGACTTAGGACTTTCTCCAGCTTCAGAATTGATTTCGTGATTCTGCTCTGCTGGTAAATCAACCGCTGATGGTCCCCAGCAGTATTACACCGGCTACTTTAATGTTGTTGTTCCCTGTACAAATAATTAGGATAGAAATAACCGTTATCCTGGAAAATGGCTAGGAAAACTAGGAGAGAAGAGGGTTTCAAAATTCGTTTTGAATAGACAATTTCAAACTGTTGACAATTTGTTCCATCATTCTGGCTGTCTATTTGTGTTCTCTTGTGTCCTTTCTCTCTTGGTTGCCAATAAACTGGTAAAATAAAGAAATAAAGAATTTTGAAAACCTCTAATGTATCTTCACTAGTAGTCATTTCACTAGTAATGGTTTAAGATTTTAAATTAAATATTTCAAATAACAACTTTTTAAGGTTGATTGAAGTAGATGTAATTTATTTGAAATGCATGTGTCTCAATTAATAAGAAAATTTACTTCAACTTTAAAATTTAAATATCACTATTTTCTCTCTTTACTACCATGCATCTTAACTTTGAATTTAATTATTAAGACTAGCAAATGAAGACGAATTTAGGGAGAAAAGATCCATTACATCAGATCATCTACTCTTGTAAGGTAATTTACTAATCTAATGTCACCTTATATTATAAAAAGAATGGTAACAAGAGAAAAAATGTCCCATTGTCATTACTATGCTGTTTAAAATTAAAAAAAAAATTAATTTATATTCTTAATGCATGGAATAAGAGTTTTTTTTTTTTTTTGAATAAAATATCATGGGGGTTTAAACTAACCTAAAGGGATTGCATATTTGTAAAGTGATAAGAGTCACTTAATCCAATAGGCCATGATAAAAGTATTTTTTATTATAAATGTGCATAAAAAATATAAAAATTGATTTTAATTTTTGTATTAAGTAAATTTAATTATATAATTAATAAATTAAAAAATAATTTTTATTTTTTTAATATAAATTTATGATAAAAAAATATTTTTAATATATTTTTAACAATACCATAAAAAAATTCAAAGATCCACTTGGTTTAATATTAGATTCCTTTTGCAATTAAAGACAATAAGATCAAATTACTATAAGATAAAGATCGATTGGACATTAAGTAGAAGATAAAACTATTTTCTCCTTTCATCTACAAATCTCCACCGTCCATTATGTTGCACTAGTTACTCTTCTAACGGTCTAGATGTCTAAATCCAATGCGAACGGTTGCAGCTAATCTCGATCCTAGACTCGTGAAATTTGAATTTCAAAATCCGTTTGGTTCCCATAGAATCCAAAACCCCTCCGTCTCCCACCCTATTAATTAAAAAACAAATCCATATCCAGCGCTCTTCAACGGTCCCTTTACCCAAAACGGCTACTTTCCCTCTCTCTTCGTCCACACTTTCTTTTTCTTCTCATTTTCTAGGAATATTTGCATTTTCTCAGGAAAATCTCGGGAAAGAAAATCTTTCAGAGCCAAAACTGCTTACTCGCCATTGTCTCTTGTTCGGCACCTGAGGTTTGTCTGCGAATCTCCCCTTATTTTGAACTTTTTTTTTTTTTTTTTTTTTTTCTGTTTCCTTTCTAAATTTAATTTCTCGCCGCGTGTTTGGTTGCCAAGAAAATTTGTAGGAAAGCTGTGGCGATTCTAAAGCATAATCTTGTTATTTCTCCTTTGTTTATGAAAGAGATAATGAAAAGCACACAATTAAATGTAGACTAAGCTTAATTCTCCCTTTTAGGTCATTGTAATGAGCCTTTTGGGATTTCAATTGCATATTCCTTTGATCTATAAGCTCTTCATGATGATAAATAGCTAAATATTTTGAAATGATTTAGCATGATTTCTGGTGTTAATTAGAGGCAATTAGGTCGAATTTGGTTTCATAATTCGAAGGAACTGAGATCCTGCTTAGGCTATTGTGATTTAATATTTTTGTGAAAAACTGAGTCAGAGGCCTAGAACTTGCTATTGCTATTAATTGAAACGTTTCCATGGAATTGGGGTTTTCTGATGCTCAAGAATCAAACAGCATTTTACCTGTTCAATTTCCGCCTTTTCTCTTCGCCAATTTTAGTAAATGAAGTCGTGCCTTAGGGTTTAATCTAGGATTCATTGCCAAAATATGAAAAGTAATTGCTATTACTTGCTTGCTTTTTTGTTGATCTTTTCATTTCGGATGTGCTTCTTTTCAGGTATAAGACTTAAACATGTCTATTGTGCAAAGCGATCCACTTCTTCAAGTGGAAACAACATGTGGGACACTTCTATATGAGCTTCAGGTTATAAATGATCTTCAGATACAGATAGGAGAGACCTTAAATTCTCTTATGTGAAATTATTTCCTTTTCCCGCCTTATATTTCTTTGAGTTCGAGTGTTTTCAGATTTGGCTTGCTTGTTCTAGCTTTGGAGTCTTAACTCTTTTTTTTTCCCTTTTTTCCCTTTTGTCCCTTTTTTATCTTTTTCTTGCAAAAATTAGATAATTTGGGATGAAGTTGGAGAGACAGATGCTGAGAGGGACAAAATGCTGCTTGAGATTGAACAAGAGTGCTTGGAAGTATACAGAAGAAAAGTGGATCAGGCTAATAGGTCTAGGGCTCAGCTAAGACAGTCTATTGCTGATTGTGAAGCTGAACTTGCAGCCATCTGTTCAGCAATGGGAGAACGCCCAGTGCACATTAGGCAGGTTGGGAATGAAATTAAACAATGTCTGACTTAATTAATTTGACAAGTATAGAGTTTATATCTTTTCTACTTGGTAGAGTGTCAAGGATCAAGATTTGCTTAATTGCTGGAAGCTTGTGTCACATTTAAACTATCTAATTATGGGTCTATTTGTTCAGTCTGATCAAAATGCTGGAAGCTTGAAGGAGGAGCTAAGGAAAATCCTTCCCCAATTGGAGGAGATGAGGAAAAGGAAAATTGACAGAAGAAATCAATTCCTTGAAGTTCTAGAGGCATTACAGAAGATCGCAACTGAGATATATGAATCTACAGAATCTGTTTCTTTTAAAGCACTAGTGGATGAAACTGATTTATCCCTAAGGAAGCTTGAAGAATTGCACAGACAGCTCCATGCACTTCAGAAAGAGAAGGTTGAATTATTTCCTTTCATTTTTTATTTGGTTCTCACATCTTGAAATTCTTCTACTTGCTGACCAACTGATCTTTCTCTAGTACAGAGTGATAGGCTAAAGCAGGTTCAGGACCATCTTAACACATTGAGCTCACTCTGCTTGGTTCTGGGCATGGATTTCAAGCTGACAGTTAACGAGGTTCATCCCAGTTTGAGTGATTCTGAAGGATCAAGAAGCATAAGTAATGACACAATAGAGCATTTGGCTAAAGCAATAAAAAAATTGCGTGAGGTTAAGATACAGAGAATGCAAAGGGTAAGTGGAATTGCTAAATTTCAGTCTCTCTTAAGATGTAATATATTTACCCTTAGCTGATGTTATTATCATTTTGAACCTTAACAGCTCCAAGATCTTGCAACTTCCATGTTGGAGTTATGGAATTTGATGGATACACCTATTGAAGAGCAACAGATGTTTCAAAATGTGACCTGTAATATAGCTGCTTCAGAACATGAAATCACTGAGCCAAATACTCTCTCAGAGGAATTCATTAACTATGTGAGTTACAAGCTTTACACCAGTTGAAAGTTGAAACTATCTTCTTTTAAGTCTATTTGTATAACTTCCAGCATCTCATAACGGATTCATTAATAAAAACTAAATGCAGGTTGAGGCAGAAGTTTCTCGGTTGGAAGAGTTGAAATCAAGCAAAATGAAAGAGCTTGTCCTGAAGAAACGCTCAGAGCTAGAGGAAATATGTAGAAAGACACACCTGGTTCCTGAGTTTGACAGCACCCTTGAAGATGCCATTGATGCCATTGAATCTGGTACAATTCCAATTTATATATATCACTATAGCTGTATTATATAGCCATGATTGTTTTAATTTCTCTAATATTTTCAAAATGTTTGCCTTTTTTACCTTGATTAGGAGCTGTGGATGCATCTACCATACTTGAACAAATTGAACTTCAAATTGGAAGGGTTAAAGAGGAAGCTTTAGGCAGGAAAGAAATACTTGAAAAGGTGGAGAAATGGTTACATGCCTGTGATGAGGAGTGTTGGCTTGAGGAATATAACAGGGTTGGTATTTGCATGATCTTCTTTATTGAAATGTAGCTGCTATATTGTCATATGCTTACTTAATCTTCGACTGTGGTTCTGCAGGATGAGAATAGATACAATGCAGGAAAAGGGGCTCACCTTACCCTCAAGCGTGCTGAGAAAGCCCGTGCCTTGGTTAATAAGCTTCCAGGTACGCATTAGGCAAAAAGTTTAATTAAAGATGAATAAATGTCATCGAAGCAAGCCAGGTTTGTCATGGTTTTGCGTCATTAACTTTGACTTTATGACTATGCATTATAGTTCAAACTGCATTATATATAAAAGCTTAATTAGAGATATAAATATCATGGAACCAAGCCTGTTCTGTCATTGTTTCATGTCATGTACTTTCAATTCACAAAATGTCATGGGACCAAACCAAATCCTGAATCAGCTATTTTGAGTGTAGTTCACTAAAACCGAAGTTGAAGTTGTTTATATCATATGAAACAGGAATGGTGGATGCATTGGCTGCCAGGACCTTAACATGGGAAAAGGAGAGAGGCTTTCATTTCTTATATGATGGTGTGAGTACTCTTATTTATTCAGTGTTTACGTCCCTCGATGGTGTGTTTCGTTTTAATTTTAGAATGCATTTCATTGTCATGCAAAAAATCTGAAACTGTTCACAAACATCATTATCAGGTTCATCTGCTCTCCATGCTTGAGGAGTACACCATATTAAGGCAGGAGAAAGAGCAAGAGCGCCGTAGGCTGCGGGTACTGAATTTTCATTTTCTTGTCCTTGAACTTATTCCTCATCAGCTTTATATTGATTAATGCTATTTAATTACACAACTGAATTCTACACCTTTACAAGCATTCCTTTTTCCATACTACAGGACCAGAAGAAACTTCAGGGACAGCTAATAGCAGAGCAAGAAGTGCTCTATGGATCAAAACCAAGCCCTTCAAAGCCCCTCAGTGTAAAAAAGGCTCCTAGATTTTCAACAGGAGGTGTAAGCAATAGAAGACTCTCTCTAGGAGGAGCAATGCATCAGCCACCTAAACCTGATATGCTCAACACCTTAAGGGCAGCTACCCCTCAAACACGTCCCAGTAAGAAAGCTGACAGAGTTTATCCAAGTGACACTTTAAATCACTTGCAGGATGATGGTTTTGCTGCATTATCAGCTGGTAAGCTCTCTTCCATGACCATATAACTACAAAAAAGCACTTGAACTGTTACCCGACAAGTTCTGAATTTGCTTCTTGAAGGACAAAAAGTTGGTCTTCCTCTTACACTTGTTAAATTGTGAAAAACATGTTAACAAGAAACGTTATGTTTCTTCATGGTATAATTGGTTATTACCTTGAGAGTTATTATCATCTCTTTGAATCTTTCTAGAGAAAGAAGACATTTATCTCCTGTATTGTTCTTCCAATAATTGGGTACTTGTTTTTTCACCATTTTGCAGTAAGGAGAGGCTTGGATATCGGCGATATTCCAATGAGAAAACAGTCCTCCAATGCTGTAAATGCAAATGAACCAGAATCACCAATGGTTCGGCAACCATTCTCTCCCATCTGTTCCATGGCATCTTCAAAGGTCAATATGACAAACAACATATTAGAAGACCACCATGGCGAGGCATTACACAAAACACTTCCAACTAAGGATCTATCATGCATTACTCCAATGAAGGCAGCTGCTTTAGTTGATGAAGAGAACAGAACGCCCAAGGCAATGCCAATTCCCATTCCCTCAACACCTTCAACAGTGTCAGTTCCAATGCAGACAGCTATGACACCAGCTCCTCCAATTCCCTTTGCAGCTAATCCAGTTGAAGTGATTCCTGAAGAGACTGAATACTCGTTTGAAGAAAAAAGGCTTGCTTCTATGTTTTCTAATGCTCAATTAAATTCAATGATTCGAGTTTGATGTTTTTCAAAATGCTTAGGTGAACTTGAACCAAATGCTGTTTAGCAATGACGATTATTTTCATTTTTTTTGGGTTTGTTACGGGACAAGTCATTTGTAATTGGCTTTTCCGCTGTGTATGTATAGTTGAGGAGCCTAAACTTGAACTCGAAATGTGAAACTGTTTTCCTTAAGACTTCAGTAACGTGAGCCTCTTTCTACCATGATTGATAGTGATAGCACGACAATTCTGTCAACTGTAACGGGTTTTTCTACATTTTCAGCGGCTGGAATTGAGATGGTATTGCCATAAGAGGTCAACCATAATAAGTTAGTTGTCTCCTTTTTGTTGACATAAGAGGTCTTTTGGATTTGAATTGTGTGAAGTGAGTGAAAAACAGAAGGATTACTTTGACTGTATAAACAAAAGAAAAAAAAAAAAGAGAAAAAACGAAAAAGAAGAATGCTGAGTCTTGATTGGGTTAAGCTCTTTGTAGTATCAATAATTTCCATTGTAGCAGTATGCTTTAAAAAAAAAAAACAATTATTTTAAAAAATATAAAAAAAATTAAAATTAATAACAGTATATTAACTCATTTAAAATAATTTTAAAAAATAAATATATATTTTAAAAATAAGGTGTTGTATGAATAACATAAGTATTATCACACAAAACCTTAATTGAGTTACTAAGCTAGCCACTAAACCTCAATTGCAAAAAAAACAAACATTTACATCTTTGTTGTGTTAGGGTTGAGTGCCCCTTTACTATTATTCAATAAATTTTATTTTGTTAAAAAAAAAAATTCTCACTTCACATTTTCTCTTTCCCATTATATATATTATTATTTTTTTTTTTATAGTGGTTTAGGTGTAGGGCTACTGGAAACAAGCAGCAAGCATGCAAAAATATGCTTCTTCTAGTTCCAGCTTCTGGCTTCTGCTTTCTGCTTTCTGCTTTCTGCTTTTGTGGGTAAAAGTAGAAATTGGTGTATGCTGTGGCATTAACAGTATATTCCCCAACATTAGAGGGTATTTAGTATAAATTTTGTAATAGTCAACTTTAGTTTAAGAAAAAAAGACAAAAGATGTCAGTTGGTAAAATGGGCATGCTTCCATCTCCACCTTTACAGCTTTAAATTCCAATTTTTTAATCTTTAAAATAATTAAAATATCAATTTTTAAATACAAAAAGCCTTTTTCTCCTAAAATTTCATTATTTTTTCCTCCAAGTTTTCTGATTTTATATCTCTCCCATTAATTAAATAATTACCTTTATCAAATTTCCAATACGGACGTGAACCATTTTCTTAAGCAAAATTTATACTTTGAATTTTGCAATTAAAATATAATTATTAATTAAATTCACAATATTAAATGTTTTTTTTTCAATTTTTTTTAATTTTTTACTTTATTTATTTCTCCTCCTTTTCTTGCAAAACCCTAAATTCATTTCCCTTGAAGAAATTCTTACATCAAACAAAAAGTTTGCATTTTCCTTCTCTGTAATTTTTGCTTTTACTTGCTGATTTTTTTGTGTTATTTTCTGTTAACTTTGAAGCTCTGTGGATTCTCTGTAATGGTGGAGATTTCAGCCGTAGAATTGTGTTAGTTTCCTCAAAGCAAACTCAGATTCATGCTCACACTACTGAGTTTTGTTTTGATCTTTGAATCCCAATCAAAGTTTTTCTCTTTTTTTAACAATTTTTTTTTTTCAACTTGAACCCTGTTCTTTCATTTTAATTCAACCTTCTTTTCTAATTTTCTTCTTGCTCTGTTTCAGAGCTCATTTGTCCATATAATGTTTGTTTTGGGGTAATTTCTGTAGTAAACTAGCTCTCTTTGCCTTTCTTGTAACTTAGTTTAGAGAAAGTTTGAATCTTTATTGTGTAGGTAGGCCAGGGTTCTAAGGGTTTTTGCTAATTAGGGTTTTCAGTTTTTTGGGTTTTAATTTGTTGATCTAACATATATAAATGGAGTTGAAAGAGGGACTAAACCCAGCTGTGGCACTGAAGGGAGATGAAGCTCCAGCGGGCTACCATGTGGCCCCCAGAATTGAAAACTCAACCCAATTTGGGGGCCCCACTATGCAGGCTGCAGCAGCGCTTTCGGCAACTGGAGCTCCCCCTCCCGCTACTGTAGCTAGTGTAGCTGCGCCTCCTGTGAGTGCAGGGATGTCCGGGCCCGGAACCGGGTCTGAAGCAAAGAAAAGGAGAGGCAGACCTAGAAAGTATGGTCCAGATGGAACTGTGGCAATGGCTTTGTCCCCAATGCCCATATCCTCATCGATTCCACTGACTGGAGAGTACTCGGCTTGGAAACGAGGGAGAGGGAAACCTGTAGACACAATTAAGAAGTCATATAAATATGAGTTTGAGAGTTCAGGTAATATTCTAAATCCCTTTCTGTCCTTTCTGTTCTGTCAGATTTTTTTAACTTCGTTGGTGTTGGTTTTCTTTTACTGTTACATTGGATATCATGTTCTGTCACATTCAGGTCTGAATTTTAGAGCAAGCTGGCATTTTAATTGGTTTATGGTATGGAAGGCTAAAGATACTGATGTGGTTCTGTGAAGGAATATTAGATGATGTTACGGGGTGTTTGTAGGGTTTGAATTGGGGTGGGACCATATTCTCTGAATCTTTGACCTTATCCAGATATAATGGTAATTAAGAGAGAGAAAGATTTATGATGATGGCTATTTTAGATGAGGGAAACTCTTAAGCTGTCCACTCTTCGGAGTAATGTTCTTCTGTCTGTCCAAAGTGTAGTTTGAGAATATTAGTCGGTACTATTAGGTTAAACACACAAATTTGCTGATGTAAATATCCTTTACCTTGTAATTTTTAATAAAAGGTTGTGTGATGTAGCCATGTGGGGATGAATGGTGGACCACGTATTCCAATGGCATGAACCATGCAAATGAGAATTTAAAGAAAGAATTGCATTCAGCATTGGGTTTCATCTGTAGGCTCATATATGAAAAAAGAAGGAAAGAAAGAAGGAAAGAAAAATTCAACTGCAACCATCAGTAATCAAACAATGAAGCTGAAGAGTCTAGGCTGCAATTTTGATAATTGAACTGGTGTTCGTCTTTGGTTCTTTTGTGCACCAAGAATTTTAAATTTCTTGTTTTCTGGATTATATCTCGGTTATTACATGCTTCTCTTTAAGCACTACTGTTGTACAGAGGCATGAGAAATCTCCCTCGGTGCTCTTGTAAATTTCCCTATTTTGTCTAATCTCTCAATGAACTTAGTGACCTGTGAAAGGATCAAGCTCTTGTCATCACTTTGGTGCTCGTATTTGTCTTTCTATAGAGTTTTGTTTTGTGATGTTATGAGTGTGCTTGAAAACTTATTCATTTTGTTTTTATTTTTTGAATTATTTTCTAGGTAATAGAATTGCATATTTTGTCGGTGCAAGTTTCACACCTCATGTGCTCACTGTTAATGCTGGTGAGGTAAGCCCTGGGAATAAATCTTGGTGCAATGAATAAAGTGTATTTAGTGCTATTTTCATCCCATGTTTTTCTGTTTGTCTAACCAGAATATTGGAACCTTATAAAAGAATTCAATCTCTTCAGAGTCAGAACTATTTATTCCAAAATATCCCAGTCCTCCAATCACCATCTCCCTCAAGTGGGGGACAAGAATATCCAACATATTTTCTCCATGTATATATATACACACGTGCATATATATATACATACACACACACACACACACACACACACACATATAAGGGTCAATATGGGGAGGTCTGTATAAAATAAATCATAAATGCATGTATACCAAAGCATGTATAAATTAGAAACAAACTTGCAAATACAGTATTCAGTTTTGGTTTTGTGTTGTCATACAGATTGCACACTGACCTTTTCTTTTACTTGTGAATTTGAGCTTTCAACCGTGCAGAAAAACAAGTTGTTGTTCTATGTAAATCAATACTTTTAAAGAGTTCGAGGAGAAATATAGATACATATGTTAATGGAAACTATCTGATATTTTTGTTTTCTTTATGTTTACTTTCTTATATGCTTGCTATAGGATGTTACTATGAAGATCATGTCTTTTTCTCAACAAGGATCTCGAGCTATATGTATCCTATGTGCAAATGGTACTATTTCAAATGTGACACTTCGACAGCCTACTTCTTCTGGAGGAACTCTGACTTATGAGGTATCACCATTAATCCTTCTCTAATGCAATTGAGTTCTATTCAGTGTTTTGAACTCGTTGATCTGCTTTAATTCTATTATTGGACTTTATTGCCTCTTTGTTATGTGGAGACTGGAGAGCTCAGGGCAAACTATTCTTTCAACTTTTCCTAAAAAAAGTAATTTGAACTTTAACTAGCTTTCTTTGACTAAGAGATGTGACTTCTTGAAAAATGAAATTTTCATTTAAGGGGCATGGGCATGCTGAATTTACTGTTGATGATGTAAAGTCTCCTCATTAGACTGTATAAATAGATCAATCATGCAATTGTCAAAATTGTTTTTACTTTTTGCAAGTGCTTGGATTAGTTTAGGTCAGGTCTGATGCCAAATGTGCTGCATTTGATGGGAGAAATTATTAATTACTCCTTTTACTTATAGATAGGATATGATACATGATCTTCAAAGTCCTAGTAGACTTCGCTTGTGATAACCTAATCCTGTCTCCATTTATTTGAACCCTACTCGATCCTGATCAAATCAAACTGCAATTCCTTCAAGCTTTATGTTGCTATTGCTTGTTGATTACTAAGATTATCTCATCGTTTTTCCCAGGGCCGTTTTGAGATACTTTCCTTGTCTGGATCATTTATGCCTACTGAGAATGGGGGAACAAAGGGTAGATCAGGTGGGATGAGTGTTTCTTTGGCAGGTCCAGATGGCCGTGTTCTGGGTGGAGGACTTGCTGGGCTATTGATAGCTGCTGGACCAGTACAGGTAATCATTAGAAAGAAGAAATGAGAAAAAGATTGAAAGTCCTTAAGCACCTATAAGAAAAGAATGTAGCTGCCTTGCAACCAGATAGCAGCTAACATAAAGTACTTCTGTTTCTGATACCAATTTTTCTAAAATGTTTTTGGGTAAATCAGGTTGTTGTGGGCAGTTTCCTACCAGGTCACCAGCTGGAGCAGAAACACAAGAAGCAGCGAACTGAGTCCATACCAGTTGTGACCCCTGCAATTGTCAATACCATCGCTGCAGAAGAAACGAAAGCATCTTATGGCGGAGTAAAGCCATTTCTTACCTCTACTTTATCCTTCCACGGAGATGGTTCAGCTTCTTTGAACCCCATCCAAGGTATCAGGCCCTCAGCTGTTGACAATAAATCATCTTCACTTGATGATGACTCTAGGGACCACAGCCTGTCACAATGCGAGGTTTCCAGCTGATACGGTTTATACACTATTCGTCTAGATGCTGGTCCATCTCAATCATTTACTACAGACACAAACATCATTTAGGCTCGCTTGACCTTCTCTAGAACCAATATAACGTTGTTGGCGGCATACTAAGGAAGAAGTAGGGTTTTGTTTTAGCTCAAGTAGGTTTTTTTATCTTTGTATTGGTTTTTAACCTGACAGTTCTACTGTCTGATTAGGTTTAGGTAGGACATCTGATTATTGAGATCTCATTATTAGGCTGCTGTTGACATGTATTCTTTCCTAGTTGTCTTTCATGTTGTTGTACCATTTGATATATGAATCCTGGTGACATTCTTATCATCCAAGTGCATTGTTTCCAAATGATTGAATTTTGAGTGATTGTTATTGAATAGGTTGTTGTAGTCAACTTAGTTTCATTTGGTACGCAACATGCCTAGATTTAAATCGTTGACCTTAACCCCCTTTGAGAGAGATGGGCATATAGCAGGTGTAAGTCCTTCGTGGGGTTCGAAGATCACGACCTGTGGGGAGACGCCTCCTGAGTGACCCTGCGCATGCCCAAACAGGAACATACTTCTCACCTCTACTTGGAGATTACTAGCGTTTAAATTTGTTTGTCTCCATTTATTGAGAAGATTTTGTTTATTGAAGAAACAAAGAATAAAAATTCCAGAACGCCATGCCAAGCAACAATTTGACAAAATTAGAAAGATGAACAAAGTTCCTTTTTTTTCTTTTTCTTAGTCATACAACTTTTCCCATTTTTTTTAGGGGTCAATATCACATCAAGAAGAGAAAAAAGTCCCACTTAGTACCCACTACTTTTACCAAAAAAGAATATGCGTTTTGCTTGCAGAAGCTTCTTTACAGTTAAGAAGAGAGCATCTATGGTAAAATAATAAATTTTGATATTTTAAATTTGAGATATTAGGTTCAGATCTTGTAACGTATAAAAGGAAATGTAGAAAAGAACATTATCATTTGATTTGTTGTATAGTACATCATTAGATATACTAGAAAAAGGGAAATCACTAATCTTCAAGCATGCTTTGCAATTTAGCTCAAGGTTGCGGAAAATGTTCTGATCCTGAATCCATGGTACATTATTATACATAAATCTATACAGGCTTAGCTAACTATCCTGAATTGTTCTGCTCTCAATTCTCTATTGACCTTGGCTATGAATTCCTCTACCCTTCTCCTTAGCTCATCATTATCTTCTCTATCATCTTCTTTACGGCCACCAGGATTATTTTTCTCGTGATCCTCCATTGTTCCTTCCTTCTCTCTATCTGGATTATTAGTAGCATTTGAAACTTCAAAGACATCTTGTGTTGAATTGTCACGTTTTTTGAGCAGATGTTGAGCCTTCACCGCCTGTAAATTGGACACTACAGATAGAGGAATTCTAGTGCCTTGATCAAAGGTGGAGCAGGGTTTTGAGGCAATGAGGATGGTGACTATGATCGAGTTGCAGAAACAGAAGACGAAAAGAGAGTTGGAAGCAGCTTGGGTGATCAATTCCATAGCAAAATCAAGCATGGTTGCAGAAGCTGAAGAAGAAAATGATAAATGAATATGTATTGAGAGTTGTGGGAAAGTATAGTTTTAGGAACAATTTAAAGGGTTGTTGGGTTGAAATAAAGCGTGGAGAGGAAGTTTTTGATAGAAGGAATGGACAAAATGGAGAGGAGCATGTTATTAACGAAGTCCTGTATAAGGGGAAGCTTCTTGACAAGTGGGGAGTGGGTTTTTGTTGGATTTAAGTAATCAAAAGGTAATTGTACTTCACAACCACCTCACATAGAACCTTCTTTCACCCTTTCATGCCCCTACTATGTGTCATCAATTGATATCACCATGCTCAAATATTTGTTTGAAATTGTACTCCTATTAAGAATTTGGGAAATAACCCGAATGAAACTTTTGCATGGTAGCTAAGGTGAAAACCTCAGAACCCTAGATTTCAAATTCTGAGTTGTCTGTACTGTGTTGATTGGTCAATGGTCAATATCACTAAGAGTGTCTGTACCCATCCCATCCCCGTCCCGTCCCCCTTAAAAAATAGCAAAAATAATTGCCCAATGTCAATGAAAAAAAAAAAAATTCACGTTCCATTAAGGAAGCTCAACCTGGCTTCCTTGCTCTAGACCAAGCATTTAGCTGTGTATAATTAATATCGTAAACCAGAGTTTCAAGGACTTGATCATACTTTCAACGTGAAATTCTCCTACCAAACTAGCTAGGCTTCTGGCTTCATTACAAACAAAATGATCTTAATTTACCAGCAACAACAAAAATAAGCACTAGAAATATGATTCTAATTTCTCTAATTATAAACTCACACTGGCAAAATTATGGCCTTGAAAATTGATATTAGTCAATTGGAAGACTAGAGAGTAATGCTTTTACTTGAAGATAAACAATGAATTAAAGTACATGGGAGAAGCAGAAATCCTAGCTAGGTCTGAGTTACCTCTTCCTTTTCTTGTTTCCAGCAGCACCACCTTGATTGAAGCCTCTCAAATCATTTGTGGTTTCAGCAGAGTTCTGCTTATTCAAACCTTTCCTCCCTCCAAATCCAAACTTGGAATTCCTAAAGTCCCTATTTTTACCTTTCTTCCCCTTACCACCACCACCACCACCATGCTGTGCTTTCCCCCCAGAACGATCCCCAGGCGCAACCCCTGGCCGTTTTTTGTTTGACCTCTCAAACGCTTTTCCATCTTCAAAGGCGAAATCCAGCTCACTGTCTTTGCCAGCCTCAGGGAAACCACTCCTCTGCCTCTGCTTCCTCCACTTCTTAACAGCTTCAATCTCTTGTTTTTTCTGCTTAGCTCTCTCCTTCAACTTCTCAGCTTGAATCTCTTTAGCAAGTCTCTTGGCTTCCCTAGCCTTCTTCCTCTCCTCAGCCTCCTCAATCTTCTTCTTTTCAGCCAAGAGCCGACCCTTGACCTTCTCCATGTGGGTATCTGACTTAACCATCTCTGCATAATAGTCAGAAGGTCTAAGAAAAGGCAGCCCCATCGACTGAAGATTCTCAAAGGCCTGCCTTGTTCCCTCCAATGCCTGTGTATAGAAAGCCAGCTCTCTTGCCAGATCATCATTTACATCAACCTCTTTCTCTTGATCAATATCAATCGAGAGCCTGTGTATCCATTCAACATTCTCTGGCCAGCTCATGTCTTGAAGTTTCTCAATCAGACCCTCTCTGTTAAATATAGCATTCTTTGAAGGTTCAGCCAATTTGATACCTCCTTCTTCCTCTCCTGATTCAGACTCTGACTCCGACTCAGTAAAATCATCTTCCATTACATCCTCTTCAAGCAAGGTTGATTCTTTACCAGGTAATGCCATTGAACTAAACCTAAAAAAAAATTAAAAAAAATAAAATCAAATAGAATAAAGAGAGGAGAAATCCAATTCGGTTTCAGTCTTGAATTATAGCATCATTCGTTGTAATCAAACACATACAACCTTGCCAATTGCCAATATCTAATTATGATGTAACAGCAAATATCAGCATCTAGGACGAAAAAAAAAAAATCACCTTTAACATATTCCTTCTAGAAAGAGGCAACAAATGTTTAAAAAAATTATGCATTTCATGGGATTTAGAGATAAACATATACAAGAAGAATAACAATCAAAATGCAAATCATTATAGACATCCCACTACGAAAAGATTTAGATGTCATTTTCATGTTCATCCAATGTATTGAGTCCCTACACTAAAGTCAGACAGGTTCAGCACAACTTGTCCAAAAAGAACAAATCTCAGGGAGGAAGCCGAAAAGGGAACGTAATTAACCGTAAATCCTAACAAAAAAGAAGAAGAAGAAGAAGTTCTCGTCTGATATCTTTACATTTGGGCGTAATTTACTCAGAAATTAACAGAAACAAACAAATTTGAACTAAATTAAGGATCAATTCGATACTCCAGGGATGGAAGCAGAAATAGAAACAGATATTACAGAAGAAATTCCTGGGCTTTGATGAAATACCTTTATGCTGTTTGCCGCCCTTCAAAACCCCTGCAAAACCCTAGCTGCTCTGCCGCAACAAATTTGCAGAACAGATTGCAGTGAACCTATTTATTTATTCTTTTATTTTATTTGTTTTGTTTTATTTTGCAGTTTGGGCTGAGAGATGTTAGGCAATCGATTTCTCAAAGCCCGGACCAAAATATCGACATCAGCCCAAGATGCAGAAGGTACCGAAAAGTTGGCTAAAGCATATGCTTAGCCCTTCACCTTAATGAGTTTGATGTTTTTAACCTTTTATTTTATACTATAAAGTTTTTAAACTTTAAAATTAAAGGTTTGAACATATTACCCTCTACACTAACAGAATTTGTTAACTTTTTGTTAAAGTAAGAATAAAATATTTACTAGATTAGTCCTTAAAAGCTAAAAATGTAATAATTTAGTTTTTAAAAGTTTTAAAAGTTTTAAAATTAAAAAAATTAGTAAATTTAAAATAATTAGTGGATGATTTTGCCATATACATTAGAACAATATTAGATATCTATATTTAAATCGAGTATTAGTTCAATTTGAAAAAAGAAATTCTAACTAAAATTAAAGGAAATTTGTTAATTAAGTTAAGATAAAAAATTTAAGAGATTAAAAGAATATAGCTAAGAAATTAATTTAAATTAGAATTCTTTATTTAAATTGAGTTAATCACTCAATTTGATTATAGATATCTAATACTATTTTCATGTATGTAGCAAAGTCATCAACTAATTATTTTAAATTTACTAAATTTTTTATTTTTAAAATTTTTAGAACTAAATTGTTATATTTTTAATTTTTAAATATTGATCTTGTAAATATCTTAATGATATTGTAAGTATTTTAATCTCATTTTAACATAGGGTTAACAGAATCCGTTAATATATAGGTTAGAATCTTCAAACATTTAACTTTAAAAGCTAAAAATCCACAATATAAGATAAAAGATTAAAAAGATTAATCTTATTAAGTGAGTAACATAAAGCATCAAACTATATGCCTATTGCATACTTTAACACCAAAAAGTTTTGAGTAGGTGAGCATTTTTTAATACAAGTTGGATATAAGATATATCCTATAGTAAATCAAATATGGCTTCAAGTTCTGTTGGTTT